CTGCGGAAGAGGAAGAAGAAGGAGAAGGAATTAGCCAAACGGAAGACGGAACGAGGGCAGCTGGGGAAAGGGGGACGGACGCAGACACGAAGCGAATCCTGGATAAATGCTTTGAAAGAGTAGTGTGAAGGAGTATCGGGAAAACAGGTAATGCGGGTAACGGAGTCTATGTACGTTGGAGAGGGCGAGCAGCGGTTGTCGGAGGTCCTTTCAACCACCGTTCTCTATCCACCAGTCCAGAGATAGATCAATCCATCTATCCCTCCCCTCTTCTCTCTCTTTCTCCCTCCTTGCTCTTTGCCCCTTCTTTCTTTTCCCTTTCCCTTTCTTCTGCTTCTTTTACTTCCTCCTCCTTCTCCTCCTCCTCCTAATCTTTCCCTTTTTTCCACCCTTCCTCCTCCTTCCCTTTCCTCCTTCCACCCTCCTCCTTCCCATTTTTCCATCCACCTTCAAGCTCGCTTTTCCTTATCTTTCCACTCCCCTTTCCTCTTTTCTCCTCCCTCCTCCCTCCACTTTCCCCTCTCCTCCCTCCTCCCTCCTCCCTCCCCTTTCCTCCCTCCCTCCCTCCTCCCTCCATCACCATCTCTCCTCTCTCCTACCCCCCCCCCATCCGCCACCCCAGCACCCAGTCCTCCCATATCCCCCCCCCCCCCATGGCCGGCGGTTCTCCCAAGCCTCTTAACTGATTAAGTCAACCCGGGAAACTTCTTAACTTCATCAGTGCTCCGGAATTTCCTCGCGGGTACGAACGCCTGGCCGCCGCCGCCGTCGCCGCTGCCGCCCCCGTCGACGCCGCCGCCTACAATTCGGACCCGCACCCAGATAGAGAAAGGGGGGGAGGGGGGAGGGGGGGAAAAAGGGAGATTCCGGTACAAAAAAAAGAGAAAAAGAGAGAAAAAAGAAAAGAAATGGAGAGAAAGAAAAAGAAGATTTTGGAAGACTCATTTCGGCTGAAGGATTTTTTTTTTTCTTTTTTTTTTTTTGGGGGGGGGGATTTCAATGGGCAAAATTTTAACCTATTTTGGCAGACTTTTTCCTTTTTTCTTTCTTACATTTAGAGGGGGGAGTTAAAGAATATATACATAACAATAATAACAGTAATAACAATAATGATAATGATAATATTAATAAAAATGATGATAATAGTGATAATAATAAAAACACACAACTGATGATGAAGATGGCGATGTTACGATAATTTTATAATAGTAAAGAAAACAATGAGAAGCAAACAACGAGAAGGAAAGAAGCATTAGCAGAAGTAAAAGAGGACGATATATATATATATATATATACATATACATGCATATATACATACATGCATACATACATATATACATACATACATACACATATGAATGTATGTGTGTGTGTGTGTGTGTGTGTGTGTGTGTGTGTGTGTGTGTGTGTGTGTGTGTGTGTGTGTGTGTGTGTGTGTTGTGTGTGTTGTGTGTGTTGTGTGTGTGTGTGTGTGTTGTGTGTGTGTGTGTGTTGTGTGTGTGTGTGTGTGTGTGTGTGTGTGTGTGTGTGTGTGTGTGTGTGTGTGTGTGTGTGTGTGTGTGTGTGTGTGTGTGTGTGTGTGTGTATAGTGAGAGAGAGAGAGAGAGAGAGAGAGAGAGAGAGAGAGAGAGAGAGAGAGAGAGAGAGAGAGAGAGAGAGAGAGAGAGAGAGAGAGAGTGAGAGAGAGAGTGAGAGAGAGAGAGAGAGAGAGCGAGAGAGAGAGAGCGAGAGAGAGAGAGAGAGAGAGAGAGAGAGAGAGAGAGAGAGAGAGAGAGAGAGAGAGAGAGAGAGAGAGAGAGAGAGAGAGAGAGAGAGAGCGAAAGAGAGAAATTCCAAATATGAAGGCCAACGGACCATGAGTATTTCGGAATGCCAGGAGGAGGAGAAGGAGGAGGAGGAGGTGTAGGAGGTGTAGGAGGTGTAGGAGAAGGAGGAAGAGGGGGTGTAGGAGGAGGAGGGGGAAGAGGAGGAGGAGGAGGAGGAGGAGGAGGAAGAGGAGGAGGAGGAGGAGGAGGAGGAAGAGGAGGAGGAGGAGGAGGAGGTCTCAAAAAGTCCGGAAACCACCGCACAAAGCCCACAGCAAGAACATCCCCCGCGTATTTTGAGCATCCCCCCAAAAACAAATACACGCGCGGACAAGGGAATCGAGCGAAGAGAGGACGCCACAGCCCTGCGCTAAATCCAAGCAAGGACAAACAAATAAAACAAAGACAGGAAGCCACCCTACCAGAATAGCTTCGATTGTCTAAAAGCACAGGCGGCATGTCGCTGGCTCAATAACCTTGTACCGAATATATCAAGATGCCCTCCCCCCTCCCCCCTCCCCTCCCCCCTCCCACTCCCGCACCTGGAGGACACCCCTAGAAGCCAGTTCCTCTACACACGTTTATGGGAATAAAAAAAAGTCTTATCATAGTTGCAACTTCATAACAGAATATTCTAAGTATGGCGAATGCAAACTATATGCACCTCTCCATCCTCAAATAGCACCTACGATGTATAAACTCCATCAGTCTGTAAAAATAAATAAATAAATAAATAAATAAATAAATAAATAAATAAATAAATAAATAATCATCCAACTATAAACGCAGATCCCACGACCATAAACCGAGTATCTGCTTCTATTAAAGGCGTACAAAATAATTAACTGATTGATGCATCTCCACACCGTCACATACAGTTTTTTTTTTTATCGTTACGACTGAAATATTAACAAAGGCAGACGTCACTCTAGTTTCCCTTTTCGGCACATGTACTACCGCCATGGATTTGCTAAAAAAATAAATTGTGTGTTATTTGGAACTCGGAAAACTCTTTAATGGTCTGACGCACAAAACGACAAGAAAACCAAGAGAAAGTTAACGATAAGGAAAACAGGAAAAAAAAGAAAACAGGAAAAAAAAAACGAATACTGTAAGGTACTGCAGAGAAGACACTGACACACAAAATTAAAATCCATGACAATTATCAAACAAAGTAAAGGTTAAAGGTCACTACATTCATGAAGTACAAATCTCGCTGGGGAGGGGGGGGGGGGGCACGACGAGTTCACAATATCCGGTCGTGACGTGAACGAAATGACAGAGGGGGAAAGGGGGAAGGGGGGAAAGGGGGAAAGGGGGGAAAGGGAGAGAGGGGGAGAGAGGGGGAGGGAAATGAGGGATGCAACGACCAGCGAGAGAGACAGCGAGCGTGCGCCCTAGCAACTCTCCTGTCCCTCCAGCCGCAGCCGCGTGGACTCTCCTGGTCCTATTTCGTGTGATAAACACCCTGTCTCAGTCCTTCCGATATATATCCGACAATCCATCTCCGAGAGACAGACTGACAGACAGATCGAAAGAAGTCGGCGCGGAGGAGATGGTGGAGGAGATTCGAAGAGTGATTAATAATAATCATTTAATTCTATTCCATTTGTTACAATGAATATTCTTGATATGACGTACTGTCCGTTTTATTTTGCTTCTAAATTACGAGAGAGAGAGAAAGAGAGAGAGAGAGAGAGAGAGAGAGAGAGAGAGAGGAGAGAGAGAGAGAGAGAGAGAGAGAGAGAGGGAGAGAGAGAGAGAGAGAGAGAGAGAGAGAGAGAGAGAGAGAGAGAGAGAGAGAGAGAGAGAGAGAGAGAGAGAGAGAGAGAGAGAAGGAAGAACACCAGCTTAAATCAACATAATGCAAGTGACTACTTCCCAGAGACAAAACAAGAAGCCTTAAGCCCCCCCCCTCCCCCGCCGTGGCCCTTCCCACTTCCCTTCTTCATTACGTAATCACTACACGGCAAAGCAAAAGGCAAACGCGGTACCGGCCGACTGTATAGGCCACAGGAAGCTGTCAAATCTCTGAAATGACAGTGAAAATGGCCTTTTTTTATGAACTGAAACTACAGTGATATTACAGAAAATTCAGAAAACATTTTGCACATTTGACCTTCGAAATACAAGCGGGCTTTCGGCCTGGCGCAACACCCCTCTCACTGCTACGGCAACTGATCGCTGGACAATTTAAATATACGAGTTGACTTAAATACATTTTTAAAAAATGATACATATCTCAAAGAAATTTCATATTTGATACATTATATTAGATACTCCCGAATCCAAAATAAGCGTAGTAAGCGATAAAAGTGCGAAAATGAAAAAAAATCTACACTGACGAGCCAGCTGACTAGAGTATTCAAATCATGTAGCAAACGGCACACCGCGGCTGATAATATGTGCTACACGATCACTATGACACTAGCTAAAATCTTGGGATGTTACGTGTGCAATCATACACGTGATTTGCCTTGCGCTGCCTGCAAGCCCGATGCAAGGAAGCGGCACAACCAGCCAGCGGAGAATTGGCGCGCGGGACTTCCATCCACCGGCATCGGCTGCGGCCAATAATCACGCCCACTGAGCAGAAATAACAAGCTGGTGTCAGACCTGATGAGCTTGAATAAATATTTGTCCGATCTGCACTTTTTCCGATGCCATCACGTCCGGGCCCTCGAAACGCTCATTATAATTACACGCGCGCGCTATCACGTCCGAGCCCTCGAAACGTTTATCATAATTACGCGCGCGTGTGTGTCTGTATGTGTGTATGTGTGTGTGTGTGTGTGTGTGTGTGTGTGTGTGTGTGTGTGTGTGTGTGTGTGTGTGTGTGTGTGTGTGTGTGTGTGTGTGTGTGTGTGTGTGTATGTGTGTGTGTATGTGTGTGTGTATGTGTGTGTGTATGTGTGTGTGTATGTGTGTGTGTGTGTGTGTGTGTGTGTGTGTGTGTGTGTGTGTGTGTGTGTGTGTGTGTGTGTGTGTGTGTGTGTGTGTGTGTGTGTGGGCGTGCGTGCTTGTGTGTGTGCGCGCGCGCGTTCATGTGCGTGAATGCAGTACCAGCATCCTCTTCCTCCCGCTAGCGGTGCAATGAGCAGTGACGCAACAGATGCAGCGGCTGCCGCTTGGTCCACGTGACGCTTGCGGCCAACAGCCACGGCCATCATAGGCCTACGAGCCGAGGCTTTCCTT